AGAGGGAGAGGGAGAAGCAGGCTCCCCACTGAGCAGGGAGCCCGATGTGGGGCTCGATCCCAGGACCCTGGGATCATGACCTGAGCTAAAGGCAGACACAACCATCTGAGCCACCCAGGCGCCCCTATTACTCTCCCTTTGTTTCCAGCATCCCGAGTCCAGCTTTTCTTGGGTGGGCTGCTCTGACAGGCTGTTAACTGTTTTTCCTGTCCTCCCCCACAGCTTTTCCTCATGGCTTCCAGAATATCTTCCTGACAAAGCTCTGATCCCACTTGCTGGTATTCAAAGCCTTGTACGATTGGGCTTCTATTCCATTCTTCATTTTCTACCTTTATTCTATATGTGCTGTTAAAGTTTTTAGACAAGGGGGTGGCTTTAATGTCTTGAAGGGCTACGTAAGCAAACCAAAGCCTAAGCCAGAGTCAATGCACTTGAATCTGAGAAAGTGAAGGTGAAGAGCAACCAATCACAAATAGCCAACTGGGTTTCCCCAAACAAGGCAGCCACTTGCACTATAGCCAGTCAAATACTGGCTTTGCTTCGCTTCAGCATCTTCTCTTTGGAAACCCTGCCCCCATCTCCTATCCTGGCACGCTCCTAACCACCTTTGGTTTGACGCTATCTGATGTGAATCAGTGTACGCTCAAATAAACTCTTGAAAATTTTAACGTGCATCGGTTTACCTACACGACAGTATCCTACACTCTTGGTTGCGGAAATCATTCCATATTCTTCACGTGTGCCCTATAATTTCTGGCTTTAGTGCCCCTGCAGATCCTGTTCTTTCAGCCGGCAACGCCCCTTTTCTCCCAGCTTTGGATTTCCAAAATCCATTTTTAAAGTGGTCTTTAAAAATCACCACTGTCAAGATTCTCAAACCCCAGCAGCAAATGAGCTACTTGCCCACCGACCCATCTGTAGCATTTTTATCTCTATCTCTCTTACGACTCACAACATCTGAGCCTGTGCTATGTCCCCAATTAGGCACGTCTGGCAGGAGAAGGCCCCCATCAGATTCAACTTTGAATCTGTGCTGCTGTGCCATCCATGTCCAGGGTGGGCAGGTCTCTGCCAATAACCAAACGAATGACTCTGTGTACTCAGGAACAGCCCTCTCCATCAGACCTCTACTGAGGACCATGACAAATGCCTAAGAAGACAACAACTTGGTTTCTGACCTCCAGGAGCTTATAGCTCATAGAGATTAGCCTAACATATGCTAATTGATAAAAAGCAACGGAAGATAAAGAATAGGATTACTGAGAACATACACTATATACATTCTATTAAGTCAGAAAAGAGGCTCCTTTTTATGAAATGACATTGGATCTTAGTAATAGGTTTATTTTGGATGGGTAAAAAGAAGGGCCTTCTGGGTGGAGGGAGTAATCAGATTAGGACAGCCAAAGGCTTGGGGAGAAGGGCCTAACCTTCACCATGTCCCACTCCCACTAGGATGTGGGCTCAGTGCCGTGAATGCATTATTTCATTTAATCCTATAACAATCCTACAAAGCAGACGGCATCAGTTCCAATTTTATAAGTAAGGAGGCTGAGGCTCGAGGGGATTAAGGAACTGGCCAAGGTTATATAGGATTAGGTGGCAGAGCTGGGATTTGAAAAAGGCAGTCTGCTTCTGTTGCACCATGCTGCCTCCTCCAGAGCAAAACACAGAACTATCACTGGGTATTTTCTTGAGGAAGGGGGACTCTTTGCATTTATGAATCACTCAAGTTGTAGAGCAAGAAGCACAATGTGTAATACATGTAGGGCTCGGTACAACACAGGCGACTTTGAATGCAAGTCTGTCCATCTAGAAAGAAAATCGAGAAGGCTCTTCAAGGAGATGAGAGTAGTGTGGGGAGAAATGATTAGGGAGGGCATCCCTAGAATGGAGGGGTGTCTCCAGACTAGTAGACAGAACAAAGAAGGGACACAGGCTTGAGTATGGATTAGTATCACCCGTCCCAGCCTACTTTCATTACAAAGGAAGAGAAATAACCCAACTGAACATAGATTGGTTGTAATGAACACCCATCCTCAGAGGATAAGAGAGACAATGATGGCAGGAGACATACTTGGTCTCATTGGCACATCGGATCTTGCAGCCTTCCTTGGGAATCACCAAGCCCAGGTGCATTCGGAGCCTGCAGTTGGTGGGCCCTGTGTGTGGCCACACGTGAGTTCCTGGGTGCATGACGGAATATTTGATCTGCGCAGAAAATATAACAAACTGGTCATCCATTTATCGAGGGGTGGAGGAAGTGCTAAATTAAAGTTACAGGATAAAACTATGTCAATTTGAATTTGAACCTTTGTTAAGGCTTAGAACTTATATTCTCGTCTTATTTCTTTTTTTTTTTTTTTAAAGATTTATTTATTTATTTGAGAGAGCGAGAATGAGAGAGAGAGAGAGTACATGAGAGGGGGTAGGGTCAGAGGGAGAAGCAGGCTCCTTGCTGAGCAGGGAGTCTGATGTGGGACTCGATCCCAGGACTCCGGGATCATGACCTGAGGCGAAGGCAGTCGCTTAACCAACTGAGCCACCCAGGCGCCCTCGTCTTATTTCTTTGATAAGGACTCTGATTTTCCACCAAGCGATAAACACTGAACACTTCCTGCCCTCAATTCTGACATCAACCACATGAAATTATGTTTCATTAAAGACAGAATGAAAAAAGACGCCTTCGTTAGACCAAATAACAGTTTATAAAGAAAGGTCAGCACTCCCTTATTCCTAATAACGAATTGTGTTCTTCCCATCATTGAAGACATGCTTGGTACCTGTCCTCTTCGGCATCCTGTTGTCTCAGGAAATTTATCTAGTAAAGAACAGGTTTTAGGAGCTCCTTTACAGGCATTTTCATTTTTTCTTCCTAGAACAAGACATGATAAAATCATTGTTAGAAACAAATCACAGTAAAACTTTAACTCGTCCCATTTTGACCAGACACAATCTGTATTATCATCCTCACTAGGAATGAGAAAGCTAAGCAAATACAAGAAGACAAAGTATAACAGACAGTGACTGGCAAAGACCAGACATCTCTACTCACTATTGGACTATTTGACTAAGGCTATCTAATGGACAGGGTGAGTGTTGAATACTTATTCTTCTCCCCGTGACAGGTAGAAAAATCCCCCCCCCCCAAGGTGTCCATGTTGTAAGCAGGAGCCTGTGAATAGGTTATGCTATACGGCAAGGGGAAATAGAGGCTGCAGATGACATTGAGATTTCTAACCAGCTGACCTGAAAACAAAGAGATTATCCTGGATTAACTGGATGGGCCCCATGTAATCAAAGAGCCTTTCAACATGGAAGAGGTTGGCAGAACAGAGTGATAGAATGAGACAGACTTGACCGGCCATTGCTGGCTTTGAAGATGGAAAGCAACTGCAAGCCAAGGAATATGGGCAGATTCTAGAAGCTGGAACCTCCAGATGAAATAGATCCCAGAGGACACTCTGATTTAAGCTCAATGAGACTGCTATAGACTTCTGACCTCCAGAACTGTAAAGGTAATACATTTGTGTCATTTTAAAGCCACTAAGTTTGTGGTAATTTGTTAGAGCAGTCATAGGAGACTCCCTAACGAAAAAACAGCTTCTATTTCAAACCTAAAAATGTATTTCTAGGACTGTATCAAAGAGTCACCTCAACATTTTTAATTGGAATTTAATGTATTTTTCATTGTACAGATCATACTTTATATGTTGATAAAGTATAGGATTTAAATGAAAAGGGGAAGAAGTATCTGAGAGATGATGTTTTCTATGAGTGACTGTTTTGGGAACACAGATTTTGGGGCATCGTCTTAAACAACCTGGACTATGCAAATTTCTTCACCATCAATAGAATAACTGTGTCTTAGGGAAGACATGCTCAGAAATGTACATAGCATTATTTGCTCTTATGTAGGAGTAAAATAATGGATTTTTTAAAAGATAGAAAAATTTTAATTCCCTATTCAAGATTCTTACAAGGGCTGCTACCTCCAAAGCTGAGTTTAATTTTATTTAGTAAATGTTAGTTGTATCCTAAGATAATCATACACTGAGAATAAAATGAGAGTTACAAGGAATGCAACTTAAAGGTATTCTCCTCAAATGGACCTCACTATTTTAGTAAACAACTTCTATAGGTATATTAGCTTTTCCTAAGTAGTCTCTTTGCCCCTTGAGTAAAACGTTAGTTGCTGTTTTTAGTGATTAATGGAGTATCCCAAGTGAGCTGAACGATAAATGCCAGTTTGACCAAACAGATTCCTGTATACGTCATCACAAAGCATTTTTAAGCCCAGCTTCCCATGCCTTCCCTTATGCAGCATCTGGGGATGGCTTGGCAGGAATCCTTAATTCTGGGGTCTGGGCTGTGCAGGTGGCAGTTATGGGAAGCCTGGAGGCTTGAGGAGGAACCAGAAGTGGCTGGACTTCCCATGGGCACAGCAGAGAGGGCTGAGCACGTGCCCCTGAGAGAACAAGTGTGTTGTACCTTAATGAAGGGGTAACCTAAGGGGCTGGGTGTCACTAGGACTGCTACTTGATCAGGACTAAATTAGAGAGAGCACCTCTAGCCATTTAGACACATAAATCTTTTCTAGTCTTGTAAACACATATTCTCTATAAAGGGAAAAGCTGTGTAGTAGATGCTTGACATTCGTGGATTACCACAGGTAGCTTTAAGGATTCGCACGTGATGGCGAAGATTTAGGAACACAACAACGGGAGCGCCCGGGTGGCTCAGTCGGTTAAGTGTCTGGCTTCAGCTCAGGTCATGATCTCGGGGTCCTGGGACTGAGCCTTGCATTGGGCTCCCTGCAGGGAGTCTGCTTCTCCCTCTGCCCTTCCCCCCACTCATGCTCTCTCTCTCAAAAATGAATAAAAAAATTTTTTTTGAAAAGAAAATAACCCAAGACCTTGAAAAATCCCAGCTCCATGAATATTTCTTATAAGTGTATTCACATGTAAGTGAAGTATCCAATTGATTCTTCCAAATCTGCATTGACAGAACTTCTTCTAGGGCCATCTTCCCCAAGAAACAAAGTCGATCACTTCTTGAGAGTTACTTTAAACTCGGTGAGAAATAATAAAACCACCATAAAGCCACCCTGAATTCAGCTGCTGGACAGTCTCCTCCTCAGCTGAGCATTTGCTCCTCATCGCTGCTTTCTATTCCATGATGTGACAAAATGATAAATTATGCTTTAAAGCCCAAGTTTGGGGGACCAACAATCCCAGGTTGGAGGCCTGGCTGCACCACTTGTTTGTTGTGTGATGCGAACGTGTTTTTGAATCTCTGCGCCGCAGATCCTCATCTGAAAAAGGACAATGAAATTAGGGCCTCAAGTAGAGGGCTGTTACTGGGATCAGTGAGTACTCTCTAAAGATCTGACAATTATCCAATAGGTGATAATGGTACTACTTTTTTATTACAAAATGATCATATGTTGGGGCACCTGGGTGGCTCAGTTGGTTAAGTGACTGCCTTCGGCTCAGGTCATGATCCTGGAGTCCCAGGATCGAGTCCCGCATCGGGCTCCCTGCTCAGCGGGGAGTCTGCTTCTCCCTCTGACCCTCCCCCCTCTCATGTGCTCTCTCTCTTTCTCATTCTCGCTCTCTCAAATGAATAAATAAATAAAATCTTAAAAAAAATGATCATATGTTATATAATAATAACAGTAATGGAGGGGTGGTGGTCTTAGGTCATGGGTACTTAGGTCATGGTTAAAGAACATGGAGTCTGGGTCCAGTTTGGCTGGGATTCCTGCTGTACCACTAACTGTATGACCTCTCTGTGCCTTGGTTCCTCTTCTCTAAAATACAACACTAATAGCACCTCCCTCACCCAGGTGCTGTAGGCTTCAGATGAGTCCTTTTAAGTATGTCAAGTGGTTCCTGGCCCACGGTGAGCACCATGGAACTGTTGTTGCATTCCTTTTTTTAAAAAAATATTTTATTTATTTACTTGAGAGAGAGAGTGAGTGAAAGAGAGCACAGGCTGGGGAGGGGCAGAGGGAGAAACACAGACTCTCCGCTGAGCAGGGAGCCTGACACGGGGCTCGATCCCAGGACCCGGAGATCCTGGGTCTGAAGGTAGACGCTTAACTGACTGAGCCCACGCAGGTGCCCTTAAAGGTCTTGGGTTGTATCTTTTTTAGTTTCAAGGCTCTGCTGGGATAACAGGGTCATCTTGCATGACAATTCTGATCAATCGACAGTGGCTACCCAGAACACTGTTGAGAAGGATTCAGAGGTTCAGCTTGAGCTCACCCGGAAAGGCTACTGAGATTGGTTAGCACCATCCTTTATGGGCTCTGGAAGAAAGAATGACTGCACTTGTATGGCATATTGGCTAACTATATGTTTTAGTGTTCATTGTTGGTGATAATTAATAAACTTGAGCAGAACAGATAATCCGTAACATTCACTTAGCAATTTGAAAACATATCTGTAGGGAAAAACTATCATTTACCTGTGTGGATTCTGTTTTCTCCAACTCAAAAAAGTTGACCATTTAAAAAGGAATAAATATTCTTCAGTCCTGATTATGCGACCAGGAGACCCACCACGATTCCCACTACCATTGGGAGAAAAATGAAACTTCCAGCCCCACAGCTTTTAAGGCCTTCAGCTCTCTAGCAGCATCCTTTCCTAACTAGAACTAGACAACCTCTACGTAACTGCATAAGATATTCATCAGCCTCTTTGGCCAGACCTGAGCTCTTAGCATGGCTAAGAAACTGTCATGCTGCCTCTCTTCCTCACTCTTCCCCGCAACCCCTCTTGCCACAGTATTCTCTCTCCAGTTTCTGAGCCACAGCAGCTGAGAGAGCATCTGCCATCAGGGATCCCATCCTGCTTTTATGCAAGCTATGGTACTAGTTGTCTTCAAAATTCTTTAAACTGTGGATTTGCTTCCAGAAGACAGTTACTGGATTCCTCCTAGAAGCCTGGAACCACCAACAGAAGGCCACAAAGAACCTTAATGAAACTTCCTAAAAGAGAAGCTATGTGACTTCTATTCTCTTATGACTAAAAAAATTAGAAATTAATTTCTTTTTAATTAACTGCAACTAACTGGAAAACATAAGCTTATGATAGTCCCCACCTGAAATACACACACAGCTCAATCATTTTGAGTCAAAATGGAAATCAAGATAGAAATGCAGTCATTTCCTGGAAGTAATACAAATGAAAATATCATACATTACAGCTTAAGGAATATATTTTGCCACAACTAAAACTTTTTTAAAAACATGCAAAAATTTAAAGTCAAAATGTTGCCTTCAACCAAATCTTGTCTTCATTATTTATTTTCTTGCTTGCTTAATACTTTTATGTGCCCTATAATGCTTTGCAGATTTCAACTTTATCAAAGCACCTGTTGTTAGCAGAGACTATGGTTCTGGAAATTACTGCCAGGATGCCTGCTATTCTGCGGCATTGTCCTAGGAAGCGTAAGGATGCGAGTGCATAAGCATGTTAATGCAACTGAGGCATCAGATGAACTCCTGAACGCATGCTTGAGGCCAAGAGAATTCATGCATTTTAGTGAGACTCTAACAGATAAAATTAGCATGTTGTTCACCTATTGACCTTGTAGCTTCCTTAAAAAAAATCTTGTTGGCAAAAAAGCTGACAGTCACTAAAAATCATGTGATGTCTCCTCTGATGGACGTATCCTCGAAAGTATTACTGAAGTAGCTCTTCTATCTCTTATGAGTAAACCATTCTGAAAGCGTAAGTGAGATAAACAACTGCTTATTTGTCCTTTAATGTAAACTCACTGCTTGTCCTCTCAATGTATTTGGTGCAGCTGAATATGTGCAACACGTACTGTTTAGTCTTCAAAATGCATTTATTTTTGGATAGCTACTGTTAACCCAGGTTGATGTGATTTTTCAAGAAGAGAATTAGAAAGAGCCTTAAAGCTAAAATTCAATGCTCCTCATTTTTAGGATAGATTGATATATTAATTCATCGAACACACACATACTGTGCCCAGCCTGGGTTCAGCCCAAGGAATATTATGGTTGAATGTGAGCCACTTCCTATTCTTGAGGAACGCAGACCCTAATTATCATTGCCTGTCACTCTGGTGTCTTATCATCTCCAACCCATGGTGACCCCATTTGGGCAGGCAACACTGTCTCTATGCTATGGAGCAAATGAGGCTCAGGGGAGGTCCTTTCTACGATAGTGATTAGCACATGGTGGGCTTTTTGGTTAAGCCTACACAGTAGGGTTACTCTTTGTAACTTATCATTTAATGGGAAAGACCAGGAAAATCAAAGTATTATTTATATATATTTATCCAAATACACATGTGAGTATACCTACACACACACACACACACACATATATTTACATGTGCACACACACGCACACACACACACCCACACATAAGTGTTCACATGTAGTTTTAAGAAACAACGACAGATTTCGATAATATATTTTTTCTGGGCAGTTTCCTTTAAGTTGGGGAATTCCAGCTCTGGGAAGTATCGTGGAAAGACTTGAGCCTTCTTCCCATCAGGTCATTGGCTGCAGAGAACAATCTAGAAGTCAGAAGCTCACCTTGCTGCCACAGCGTAAACTGGCTCCAGTCGCCTTTCTCCCTCAGGTTTTCATCTTCAGGCAGGAAGAGGCCTTTGGCTTTATCCATCACGGCAAGGCCTTCATCACGGATTAACTTCCAGTTTCTTTCTAAGGACTAGAGGGAAGATTCCAGTTTTACTGAACTGGGCATATGCCTGATAGTCATTATGATGACTCTCAGCTTTTTATTTATTTGATTAATAAAGTAATGAAATCTGTGCTCTCATCTAGATTGCTTACTTCAATTTCCTCTGGGACTTCTTATCAAGGGTTTAAAAAAACCCTACTATTATTTTTGAGAACTCAATGCCTTTGCAGCATAAAAATGTCAATAATTCCTCAGAGAATAATCCCCTCCAAAAATTAGTTTTATATTTGCCTAAAGGTTGTTTGTTGTTTTTTTTCAAAGATCACAAGTGAACAAGAGTATTGCTCTTGTTGATCATATTATATCAGTACATTACAGTATGCTCCATGCGACACCCCTGACACGCAAAGAATACACATCAGGGACTTCATTTCATCTTTCAACAGAGGTCCTCATGAAGATGCCATTCAACATGGTAAACTGTAATTACATTTCAAAGACATGGGAAAAGTGTCCATGGGAACATCTGATGAATTACAAAGTTAACAGCAAAACAAAGCAAATAAATGCCCAGGTGTTTAGAATTCAGCCACACAAAAATATTTCTGACTTCTCCTTTACGAGGGTGCTTTAGCCCCTGTTGGAAAGTGGGTTTAAGACCAAAAGAGCCTTGGAGTGGCCAGGCAGATGCTGGTAGATGTGTGGAAGGAGCATTCTGGAGCTCTAGCCTCCAGGTCACCTTCACTACCACACTGTGATACTGATGAGGGTGGGAGCAGAGGGGAAAGCAGGCGAGGGCGAGCTTGTGGAGTGGTGAACTAAGAGGTACTACTCTGAGGAAAAAAGAACAAAACCTGCTTTCCTACTGTATGCTGAGACTAATTGGACAGATTACCCAGGATTTTGAAATGTTAATAATGCCAAACATTTCTATGTTAAGCGAGAGATGGATGGAATAGTTGAGTATATGGGTACCTGGAGAGGGAGGTGCACAATACCTGGTTTCAAGAGTCAGGGCTCAAGAGCAGGGCACTAGAACTAGTGAGTTACAAACAAAAAGAAAGATTTTGACAGACAAAAAAATAAAAACAACAATTAGTGCTCCCTGAAAGTGGATTAAGGTGCCGTGTACAACATGGCTCTCTATCTTTTGAATTAATCAAGCGAAACTGGTTGACCCATTACTGGATAGAGCAAAGCATGAGATAATGTGTGAGGTGTTTTTCTTTTTTACCAGCCTACGCTTTATGAATTCATGATTCCATGTGGGAAAAGCGATAAGGAGCCAAGAGAGCTCCGAGAGACAGATGCCCTCAGAGATTTGTGTGAAAACATGGTGCCAACTTCAGCCCAGCCCAGAGAACATTTTTTTATATTAGGTGACAACATTAGGTTTATTAAGATATTCTAGGGCCAGACATAGATTTTAAGATTAGATACTGGTTTTCTACTTCTTCTTTTCCCCTTCATTTCTTTGAGTCTACCAGTTTATTTCCTTTTTAAATGTCAGCTTGATTGAGGTATAATTGACAAAATTGTAAGATCCTTAAAAGCGTACATTGTGGTGATTTGATATGCGTATACACTGTGAAAGGATTTCCCCCATCTGGCTCATTAACACATTAGGCACCTCACAAATTTATCTTTCATTTATTCACTTTTAAATTTTTGTGTTGAGAACATTTAAGTTCTACTATCTTAGCACATTTTAATTATACAATACAGCATTATCAACCATAGTCACCATATTAAACAAATCCTCAGACTTTATTCATCTTATGGATGAAAAGTCTGTACCTTTTACCAACTTCTCCCTATTTCTTTTACTCCCCACCCTACTCCAGCCCTGGCAACCACTCTTCTACTCTGTTTCTATGAGTTTGACTTTTTTTTTTTTTTTAATTTAGATTCCACATGTAAGTGATACCATACAGCATTTGTCTTTCTGTGTCTGGCTTATCTCACTTAGCATAATGCCCTCAAGGTCCACCATGTTGTTGCAAATGGCAGGATTTCCTTCTTTCTCAGTTGAATAATATTCTAGTGCACGCGCACGTGTGTGTGTGTATTTATGCCTTGATATACATCTTTATCCATCTATCCATTGATGGACACTTCAGTTGTTTCTATGTCTTATTGTGGATAATGGTGCAATGAACATGAGAATGCAGATATCTCTTCAATATCTCATTTTCATTGTCTATACCCAGAAGTGGGACTGCTGAGTAATGATGGGGTTCTATTTTTAATTTTTTGAGGAAACTCCATATTGTTTTCCACAGTGGCTATACCACTGTACGGATTTGATACTGCTATTTCTGTGAGACCCACCTATTGATTCGTGTCAAAAGCCACAGGCGCTGCTACCAACACACTGATTTATGCTGGTGCTGGTCATCAGTAATTTCAATATTATTTCATCCCAAGTAGGTAATTCATACATAGCAAGTCAAAGACAGAATTCCAATAAAAAGATACTCAAAAGCCTTCACTTTGGCAGGTCCCCTGAATGACAGAATATGATGGCTTTTTCCAAGAATCCCAAGATTATGGAAAAGAAAAAAATGCACCCCATATATTCACATCTTCTCAAATGTACCTAAATTGCCAACACTCCTTGTGGCTATTGTAATTTGTCCAAGTGGATAGATAAATCTGTTAGATTCGTGTTAAGTTGTCACACAGATGAGGGGAGAATTACCTTTCTAACACATGAAATTACTTTTCAAATGAGGTCACTGGAGTCTTACACAGCAGGCTCTTCCCTTCTTCCCTCCTGGTATTTTAGAAGTTTCTTTCATTTCTTTTGAAAGCTGATGTTAGGAGCATCTTTGCAAAGAGCTGATCTTTTGTATTAGGAAAACAGGGCAAAAGCCCTAAGGAAAATGTTAACGTGACTGCATCACTAAATAAAATCTTTACAATTTTTCTTAGGAGTAGGCTTTTACCAGAGTAATGAGTGCACTTGGATTTGTTTTTGGTTTGTTTGTTTTCAACTTTGGAAAGATTCGGCATGGTCTCTTTTATGGACATCACGGAGAAATCTGGGATGGGACCTGGGAATTTTATTTTTAAGCATAAACCAAGGAATCACGTTGTATAAAATTCATATGATTACAGGGGATTAAACCTCAAACCTAATTACACAGGGTGTGTGTGTGTGTGTGTATGTGTGTGTGTTTGAAAGAGAGAGAGAGTATGAAGGGCTGGAGGGAGGAAGGGATCGGATATGAATCCTTTCTACAGTAATACCACTCAGATGTCTGGGATGGCAAAAAATTTCCATTTCTTAGTAAATTCCAACAGGAACTTGAAGGCTCACACAGAACAGGCCATGCCTACCTTTTTAAAGGTCTCATCTAAGATACTACTCCTTTGGCCCTAAATACACCCATTTCATAAAACTGAAAAAAAGAAGCCGATAGAGTTGGTATTTGAGTTGACTGCTGGGAAGACAACAGCTTCTCATTCACATTTCTCCTTGTGGCAGCATAGATTTGAGAGCACACAGATATGATTGATTTTACGGTGCCACATGGCCTCATCAACCCACCATGAGCACTTGTCTTTTGTTGAACCTCAGCTATATTTGGCACTCTAGTCAGCTCTAAGCGGAGTTCCCAGCTTCAAGCTTCATTAATCCCACAACACACTACAGTTCTCTTTACTCCAGACCTCCCAATCAGTTGACAAGGTCCTCACTTCCCAGATATTCTGCTCATTCACTTGGATGGTATGCTTTTCTCTTCAACATCAAGTTAGATTAGGTTTATTTTTAAACCCTTCCCCTAAAACTGACTTCTTGCAGAAAGTCTTGAGGGGAGCAAACTAAAGCCAAACTAATTCTTATAATTAAATCGTTAAATTTCCCTTTCTATTTTTCACTCAATTAAAACTACATATTTTTAAAAGTCTACTAATACTACAGGTCTTATAATAAAAGCAGCAGTCCCTCACTCAATTCTTCCCCAATCCTGAGTCCAACCCCAGTTAATCGCTTTAAACACCTCTTCTGCTGTTTATCTGCTTCTATCTAAATACTATGTTTATACCGTTATTTCTTGATTTATTCCATTCTAGACATTATCACTCATCTTTCTCTTAGGGAAGGTAACAAGTCAACAATTTGATGTCTTCTTTTCCCTCTTCTCAATCTTGCTACAGTTAAATTCACAAATCTTTCATAAATCTGAGTGAATTCACATTCCGTATCATCCGCACTTGAGTTGTACTTTGATGATGACCCTTCATTCCACATTTCTGCCCCCTTTTCTTCTTCTTCTTCTTTTTTTAAAGATTTTATTTATTTATTTGACAGAGAAAGCACGAGCAGGGGGAGCGGGAGAGGGAGAAGCAGGCTCCCCACTGAGAGGGAGCCCGATCCCTGAGAGGGATCCCAGGACCCTGGGATCATGACCTGAGCCGAAGGCAGACGCTTAATGACTGAGCCACCCAGGCACCCTCTGCCCCCTTTTCTTTGACTTCATTTCCTAATGCACTTACCACTGTTTCTTCTTTACAGCGCTGAAAGGCTGATACAAAATCTCTTGATACTACTCTACCCTTTGCCAAAAACATCAGATAAGCCACTACTTTCTTTCTCTCTTTTTTCTGAAGATAATCCTGCAGTAGCCACCTGCCTTGCTTTGATCTGGACCAGCTGCCGTCTGAGCGTGCTGGGCAAGCATCATCAGGGAACTGCTCTCGGCTTTTGCCCTGGAGTGGTCTTCCTAATTATTGCATTCTAGTTATTCCCAAGAAAGGACACAGCACAGGTAACACTAAATTTCTGAAAATATCTGAAGCTATACTTACACCTGACTGAAGGCTTGCCTATTCACAGAATTCTACATAGGAAATACTCTCTCCTGAGAATTGTGAAGACAATGCCACATTGTATTACAACTTTTAGTGTTGCTGTTGGGAGATCTGACCTTTTAGATTCCTTTTTTGGGGGGTCCTTCAGAAAACTTTATAGAAGTCAGTACAGTGTAGTAGGTATGGAGCTCGACTGCCTGCCTGGTTTG